CCAAATGACTTGACAGACGAGTTGATAGATTGAAAACTACTCCTTCCCATTATGGTCCCAATGAACAAGTACTGTGTCAGCTGTTCCAAGAATGCTGGTTGGGGTCGAGGGGGATGGGGGTGGGTGGAGGTAATATATAAAAGTCCTGGGTTTTCTTAGAATAATCATGAAAACTACTTCAAAATTAATCTGAAAGCTCTAAAATGTTTTACACACAGTGCCTGTTTTGCAGTAATCACAAGTATGAGAGATTAATCAACAACCTTGCAGGTATATCTTCTGTAGTGAAAATACTGGGTGAAGGAGCTTACTGGGCCATGTTACCCTTGGCAAGAAATACATAAATGCTGTGTTTATACCTGGTAAAAGTTTAGAAGAAACTTATTAAAAATGATCTGTAGGATTTTTAAAGTTAGGATGGTTTTCAGCCTAGCTGAAAAGTATTTGGAAGTTAACTGTAGGACATTGGGATGTAGTTTTCACCTTCTTAGTACCATGTTACTGCCATAAAAGGAGTGATCCATGCCTCTCTTTGTGTTGATAACACACATCTGGCTATGCCCTCTGCCTTTCAGTTCATTTCAAATCACTCCTGTGTTGTTTTCATTCAACCTTTCTCCAGAGAGTTGATCTGGAATTTGAGGTCCTCCTCGAGTTGTACAAATTTATGAGCCTATTGAGAAAGAGCACAGTTGTTGCTGAAGCACCTTCAGGAAGTAACTAGTGTTTCCGAGTCTGAATTCGATCGTGCAAAGGGCAAACTAAATGTGGGACGTTATAACGAGAGGAAAATGATCAAGTAAAGAACATCATTTGTACTTCACCAGTGCCTCTTGTAGCTGCACAAAAGCTCTAGCTAAGAGCCAAGCTGCTGCTTCAGAGGACCACGATGATGTCCCTGAAAACCAGAAATTGCTGGAACCAGTGCTGAAAACATCATGAGCAGTGGGATTTGTTTGCTAGGATGAATATGAAAATTTCAACACTAGTTGTTTAGTAATTCTAGTTTTTAATGGAAACAGGAAAAAAAAAAAAAACCTCCCGCTGTGTCATGTCAGCGAATGTAGTCTTCCTGTCCTTTCTTAATTTAAATAATTAATGATCTCCCCTTGGGGGAGAGAACCAGGGAGGAGGGACCCAGGGGAGACTCAGCTTCTCTGCAGTCCTGCCTTTGCTAATGGATAGTCTCCTTCCCCTGGGACCAAGCTAGATTGAGAAAGCCAGTTTGCTCCCTAAAGACTAGGGTTTTAAATTCAGGTGTCCCAGTTACTCGTGAAAATGAGAGTTTGCTGTCAAGCTGCATTGTGGTTTGGGTTGGGTACACTGTCTGCTTTGCCAGAATGATTGTGTTTTCAAAAAGTCAAATGTTAATTTAACCTGTCAAATAATTTCTGCCCTCCGTGATGCAAACAAGGAACTCTTCGATCTGTACCAGTAATTACTATTTTTTTTTAAATTTATTTATTTATGATAGTCACACAGAGAGAGAGAGAGAGAGAGGCAGAGACACAGGCAGAGGGAGAAGCAGGCTCCATGCACCGGGAGCCCGATATGGGATTCGATCCCGGGTCTCCAGGATCGCGCCCTGAGCCAAAGGCAGGCGCCAAACCCCTGCGCCACCCAGGGATCCCTAATTACTATTTTTTAAAAACGTAGTCCACTTGTTTATCTGAAACTCCACTGTTGTACATAATGTCATGCTCTTATTGAATGTAACTTCCCTACGTTTCCTGTGATGATTCCTGACGTCTTGTCCCCATCCTTTCACTCCCTTAGACCCCACCTGGCACCGCTGCAGGCAGCTGTCCTGTCCCGTGTGTCCTGCCCTCCTCTTTTGGGGGGAGGTTGAGGGACTTACGTATACCACACTTAACCCCTTTCTTTCACTATTTTTAGTCCAGTTCTACTTTGGAAAAGGTGTAAAAATCCTTTTAATCCCTTGCAACTCTTGCCCATTAATCTTTAGAAAAAATTACCTTCTGCCTTCTTCCTTCCTTCTTTGCACTTATAAGGCAGAAGACCCCAATGGCCTACAGAAGTATATCAAAAGCCCACCAGAGGGCCTAGAAGTTCTCTTCTGAAGCCCAAAAGAAGTTTCTTCTCTCTTTTTTCTTTCTAGTTCAACTTCTTTTGCTTCAAGCGATAGCAGTCAGCGTAAATGAGAATTTTCTTACTCCTTTAAATGTTTCAGTTTTTTTTTTAATTTTTTTTTTAAATTTTTTTTAATTTATTTATGATAGTCACAGAGAGAGAAAGAGAGAGAGGCAGAGACATAGGCAGAGGGAGAAGCAGGCTCCATGCACCGGGAGCCCGACGTGGGATTCGATCCCGGGTCTCCAGGATCGCGCCCTGGGCCAAAGGCAGGCGCCAAACCGCTGCGCCACCCAGGGATCCTAAATGTTTCAGTTTTACTAATAATTGAATAGAAGTTTTTTCTTTGCTATTTCATTACATAAAATGGTTTTGCTGTATTTTAAGCTAAATGCCCTTCTGAGCTAGCTTAGGTAACGTGGTTTCTTAGGAACAGAATCCCTTTGAAATGTATGGGCTTCTGGATTACCCCTGCATCCTGTATAGCACAGGCAGGCGTGAGGTTGGCTACCACAATAAATATGGCAAACTATTTCTTTGTTCCTATTGAACTGTGTTTCCTTTCCACGTATATAAATCGAGATCTTGTGTAATATCTGCAATGAGAGTGCCTGTAGGGCATGTAAGTTTTCATTTCATCCATTTGTTCAGAAACAAGAGTGTCTGCAGTGCCTCGGCCACCATTACTGGTCTCAGTAGGCTAATGGGTTGAAGATAATGTCAATAATGTCGAGCACTAAAAAGAACCAAAACAGGATGACTGTGAGAGTGACCATTAGGGAGTGAGTGCCACCCTAGGTAGGGTGGTCTTAGTGGAGGCTTCTCTGAAGAAGGGACATTTGATCCCCTGCCAAAATAAGGACAGAAATGAGTCATGTGTGCAGAGGTCTGTAGACATGGCTAGCACAAAGGGACAGAAGGGATGTGAGTGAAGCCTGGGAGGTCTTGGGGAGGAGAGCGGTGGCAGCAGAGAGGTTAGGGCAATAGGCAGAGGGAGGACCTGGTGTTGTGGACCTTGGTGAGGAGTTGGGAGTTTATTCTGATTGCAGTGAGGACTTGAAGCAGGGAGGTAACATTTAATTATCAAAAGCTCTTGTAGGCTGCTTTGTAGAGAATGATTTCAGGTTTTAATAATTCCAAAAACAGTGAACTGTATGTTTAACTGCTCATGAGGATTAAAATAGGCCTGCCAACTTGGGGTTTTCTAGGTGTGTCTCCACAGCTCCCACTCTTAAACCACTTTATTAATTCATTAAATTCTAAAAGTATGGGGTCTGCTTTTGTTGTGAAAACGTGACCACCTTTCAGATACCCTCTGCATGGGTTGGAGGAAGGCAAGCACAGCCTATAAACCCCAGGAGCAGAAGGTTCCTGGTACAAACCTGTCTCCCTGAAGATCTTTAGAGATGGAAGTTCAGTGAGACACAGCAAGCCTGTGGAGCATGTGTTTAAAATGAATAGTGCTGTGAGGGGGCGCCTGGCTGGCTCAGTCAGAAAAGTATGTGAATCTTCATCTCATCATGGTAGTAGATTCAAGCCCCACGTTGGTTGCAGAGATCACTTAAAAAATAAAATCTTGAGGTGTCCGGGTGGTACAGTCAGCATCCAACTCATAGTTTCAGCTCAGGTCATGATCTCAGGGCCCCACATCAGGCTTCACACTCAGTGGGGAGTCTGCTTAAAGAAAAATGTGCTCTGAGAATGTACAAAAGAAGAAAGCGTTTAGGGTGAAGTTTGTGAAGGACCACTTTCATCATTACCTGGGCTGTTCTTGGACTGTCTGTACAGAGTGCCACATTCTAAAGTCCTTCGGTAGAAATTTTAGGTAACAGATAGACATGTGAGAACTTAGGGCTCTAGCTCTTGATTTCTTAGCACACAGGCTCAGAACGTGAAATCCAGAACGTTTCCTGATTGTCTTCTGTGTGCCAGACATCACTAGGCCTTTGACACTGAATGGTTGAGACAGGATTTCTACTTTTGAGTTTTTTAAATAAAGACTTCTGATACATATTCTCGGAATTCCTTCTTTAAAAGCCATACCTGGTAATGTTTATAACAGCCACATATGAAAAGAGTCCAAAGAAATAAACTTTGTCTTACTAATATCCATATTAAAATTAATATCCACATTTCAGGGACACCAGAGGATATTAGCTTAGCTTAAACCTTATTTTAGGGGATCCCTGGGTGGCGCAGTGGTTTAGCGCCTGCCTTTGGCCCAGGGCACGATCCTGGAGACCCGGGATCGAATCCCACATCAGGCTCCCGGTGCATGGAGCCTGCTTCTCCCTCTGCCTATGTCTCTGCCTCTCTCTCTCTCACTGTGTGCCTATCATAAATAAAATAAAATAAAATAAAATAAAATAAAAAAATTTAAAAAAAAACCTTATTTTAGAGTTTGCCTTTGACAGAATATGTGATATGCTTATTGGTCAGTAATATTTGTTAATGTCACAAAAGTGTTTAATTTATAATAGCTTAATTGCCTAAATTCCTCTCATATAAAGCAAATTCATTATATTTATTTCCTTTTTGAAATTGTCCAAAAGTTAAAGGAATGTGTTCTGGGGCACCTGGGTGCCTCAGTCATTTGGGCGTCTACCTTCAGCTCAGATGGTGATCACAGGGCTCCTGGGACTGAGCTCCCTGCTCAGCAGGGAGTCGTCTTCTCCTCCCCCTGCTCGTGCTCTCTTTCTCACTCACTCTCTATCTCAAATAAATAAATAAATAAATAAATAAATAAATAAATAAATAAATAAATAAATATCTTTTTAAAAAGTTCTGATCCTAATATTTTCTATCTCTCCATCTTGTTAGAGTGGGGTTTCTTTTTGTAAAATAGTGGAATTAAATTTTTTGTTACCTTAATATGCCAATGCATACTGAGCCTTTGCTCTCTTTTATAGGGAAATCCTCATTGACGATTCAGTTTGTTGAAGGCCAATTTGTTGACTCCTACGACCCAACCATAGAAAACAGTAAGTATTGTTTTCAAGGGTTTATAAACTGTGAGAAGCCTGCATTCTTCACACAAACAGCCATTGTGTGTTCCTGGAGGCTTTGATTGCAGGGGTTATTGGGGTAAACCTGTAGATCTCCAACTGGGGTCCAAAAATCTTCCAAAAGTTTGATCCACTTCACACTAATTGGATTTTTATTCAGTGTCCAGATCCTGCCATCTGGAAATTGTTACTCAGTTTCCAGATGTGGAATCCAGTTAGAAATCCAGTCCTACAGTGAACCTCCTATTCCAGACTCTGCTTCAGGAAAACAAGAATAGAGAGCACAGTCTTATTTTTCCCCCTTTTCTCAACAGTAGCCCTTTTTAAGGATTCCAAGCTGAAATGAAAGGACGAAAACATTCCAGATCCTTTGTACCTTACTCTTACGGAATTGCTAGTCCTTCCCCCACTCCACCCCCAACCTTTCCAGTCCTGAAGACTTGAAAGAATGCTGTGGAGAAGTGTTCTGGGATGGAGAGAGCAGTTGCAATATGAAAACAAAGATGTCTCAAGTCTGTTGGCATTTCAGGTCATGTGCAGAAAAAAGCACCAAAGAACAGAACCAGCCACAACCTTTACCTTGTCCAGTTTCAATCTATGGTTTCAGAATCTTCCTGAAGGATTTTAGGATCATGAGAGTCTTGATTCTAGGATCACAGAAGAACACCTGAAGCCTTTGCCCAGGGAAGCTGGTTTGTTGGAAGCTGATCTTGTTTCAAACGATCTTAAAACCCTAAGTAGATCCTAGAACCAGTCTTCTCAGATTCTTGACACCTGGGACTTAACCCAGGATTTGTCACCAGGAACATACACATTTAAACATGGGATTCTTCAAAACCTGATGGGCATATTAAACCTGAAGCTGACTTAACAGGTTCATAAAGTTCAACAAGATTTGTAGACCTCACTTGCCCAGAGCTTGCAAGAGAGACTTCAAAAGAGGTTTACAACATGGAGTTGACAAACTATGGACCATAGGCCAGAAAGACCCACTTTTTTGTACAGGGCACAAAGAATGGTGTTTGTGTTTTTTTTTAATAAAGTCAAAAGAAAAATATTTGTGACATGTGAAAGTTTCCTGAAGTTCACATGTCAGTGTCCAGTAAGTTTTATTAGAACCCAGACATGTGGGATCCCTGGGTGGCGCAGCGGTTTGGCGCCTGCCTTTGGCCCAGGGCGCGATCCTAGAGACCCAGGATCGAATCCCACATCGGGCTCCCGGTGCATGGAGCCTGCTTCTCCCTCTGCCTATGTCTCTGCGCCTCTCTCTCTCTCTCCCTCTGTGACTATCATAAATAAATAAATAAAATTAAAAAAAAAAATAGAAAAAAAAGAACCCAGACATGTGCATTCATTCATTCATGTCGTTTCTGTGGCTGCTTTTGTTCTCTAATAGTGGACTTGAATCCTTGCAACAGGGACTGTTTGTCCCTTTTCAGAAAGAGTTTGTCCACCTCTTACTTAAAACATGTAGCTCTCCTTCATGTCCCAGTGTGCTGGCGGCATGGAAAAAGCCTGTTCGTTGCTTACCCAACTCTGGGAAGACCTGGCTTTAAAAGTAACCTCTGCTGGTATCCGGGAAGGAGGAGTCCTGACTACATACACATCTTGTATTGATTTGTTTAGCTGTCACTGAAAGAATAGTATGTATGCTTTTAGTGAACTTGGTGAACAAGTTTGGTTATCCATTGGAATAAAACACAAAATTGTGGTCATGGCCTTTAATATTTGCTGTATGGAACTATTTGGAATTGTGTGTCATTGAGATAAGACTCATTTGGGCATTTTACTCATAGAATAGTAGAATTTCGTTTTCTTGGTAAGCTATGCTCCTATAATTGTGTGTCCTTGTGCCACTTAAAATTGAGGTGGAAGGAAAGCCTTGGTGTTGTATGTAAATAGATTTTCTTTATATGTAAGTAACAGATCCAGTGAACATCCAGCTTTCTTACCTTGATATTATCTCAGAAATTGAATGAGGTGCCCCTAGTTTGAAGGCTGTCAACATCATCTTTATTTTTTTTCTATTTCCTTTCTAATACTTAGTGTTCAATAATACTTATTTTTTTCCTCTCAAAAGTGGATTAAAAATATTTATTAAAGTCTTTAGGCAGGAGCGCAAGTATCAGAGTATATGAATCGCTTAAAACTTCATGAGCTGTATGCAGACATCATTTTCTGTTTACCATGCTTCTGACCAGCTAACCCAGGCAGAAACCCTTCCTCCACTCCATCGTCCACTGTTTGGTCAAAAACACTGTTCAGCGATAACAGGAAATGGAATGGTTATCATTCGCCTGTTGCTAACAAATGAATGGATGGTCTTAAGATTTTAAAAAGCACTACACTCTGTAAATCTGGAAATAATCTGGTAATTATTTATAATTTTTAACTTTTAACTCAACTTTATAACATAGAACAGGTGGTTCATAGCAAACGTTCAGTAGGGACACATCTCTGAAGCATCGCCACAAAGGCAAAGATTCTGGGACTGTGTAATCTTCTTTTAAAATGGGATACAGGGATCCCTGGGTGGTGCAGCGGTTTAGCGCCTGCCTTTGGCCCAGGGCATGATCCTGGAGACCCGGGATCGAATCCCACGTCGGGCTCCCGGTGCATGGAGCCTGCTTCTCCCTCTGCCTGTGTGTCTCTCCCTCTCTCTCTCTGTGACTATCATAAGTAAATAAAAATTTTAAAAAAAATCTATAAAATGGGATACAGGAGAATAACATCAATAAAACCATATATTTTCTAGTTTGGGGAAATTTTTATACCAAAAATACTGCCTACACAAATGTGCTTTGTTATCTCCTGTATTGTTTTTTTGTTTGTGGTTTTGGTTTTTTTCCTTACTGTATTGTTAATCTAACAACTCAATACAAACAAAATTGGCTATGGTGAAATTTAACTAGTAGCAGTAGTTTATAAATTAAGGAATTGCAGTTTACAACTTTTGCCTTCTCAAGGTGGTACTGTCGATGCTCTAATAAACCTCAGAAAATTGGAAAATTCTAATTAGGAGTTTTGCAGCATTATCAAGCATTACATGGTGGGTGGGCTTCTCAGTAGGATGTGAATTAGGAGTCCTCAATACGCTTGAGGAACACACATCGTATTTTATGAATTCCAAATTTTAGAAATCTATTACCTTGCTTATTTTAGTAAGCTTTACCAGTAAGTAGCTATTAGTCTGCTTAGAGCAATTTCAGGATTTTCAGTGGGAAATTGGATTAATTTCTCTAGTGATTGAAAAAGGGAGGGGGCAGGAGAGAGGGTTCAGGGAAAAGTGAGGGAGAAAGCCAGCTCTCCACTGCTACGGGGAGGTTCGACACAGAACATGCAGAAGAATTGGTTCCTAGTTTATAGAACTGACAGATCTCTTATTACACTTTTTTTCTATAGTAATAACAAGAGGAGGCAGTTTTCTGTGACAGATGGAAGGGCCTCGATTTCATCTTATGCTGTGCGTAGGAGGATTTACATCCTTTTTATGTGCAAGAATATACTAAAACATTGATTAATGATTTTCTCTTTCTTCTATCTTATGTACAATTACACATCCTCCCTTTTTACTCTGAGCTCATGGCCAGTATTTCTCCGGTCTCCTTGGCTGAACCTTCATCTTCTGGACCTGGCAATGTAGGGTGCCCCTGGGCTCCAACGTCAGTTTTAGGCTTTCTCTGTGCTTGCTCACCAGTGATCTTCCCCCTCTCTCCAGGAACCTGCTGGTATCACAGTACACACATGCACGCAAACACACACCCGCTGCACCACCCTCCACCCAGGCTCTGGGCTGTTTTATTTAGTTGCCCTTGCTTGTCCTCTTGGGTGTGGTCTTCTTCATTCCCATCTTCCTCCATCCCCAGTGCCCCCCCCCCCTCAGGCTTTCCTGAATTGGTAAATGGCAATTCATGCATCTCCTTCCTTGCTCAGGCCAAAGACTTTGGAGTCATCCTGCCTCTCCATTTTCTCACACCCTGCTTCCAGTTGGTCCAGTCAGAGATCATCTTGGCTCTACCTCTGAACTACACCCAGAATTCCACTGTGGCTCCCCGCTCCTCTCTGCCCCGCTGATGCAGACCTCTAAGGTCTTGTTCAGATCCCGGGCCTATATAGGCAGTACATTATGGGCTCCCACCAGTGTCTTTGTCCACTCTTGTCCATTTCTATTATTCACAGCATAGCCACAGAGATCTCTTTCAAATATAAATCAGATCAGGTTTTTCCCCTACTCAAAACCCATCACATTTAGAATAAAAGTCTGAAGTCCTTACTATCTCCTACAAGGTCTGCCGCCTCTCCAACCTGATTACCTTCCCATCACTCTCTCAGCCTCTGCTGCACTAACTGCCTTGCTTTTCTGCCCTGGGATTTGCCACTCACTATTTGACCTCCACCTGCATGCTCTTCTCCCAGAAAAGATGCCTGATGGTGTCTGTATCTGCCTTCCTTCCCCGGGGCTGCAAGCTTACTGAGGTCAGCTGCAGTGTTTCAAGAGCACCCAGAACAGTGCTCCTGGTGATGATAGGTACTTAAGACGTAGCTCTTGCATGAATGAATGATGTTGTCTTTCAGTGATGTTTTCATAGTATTTCTTTATACTTCATAACCACAATTACTTCGTTCTAATTGAAGGTTACCTGTTTCTTACATAATTCTCACAAAGTCTAAAAGGCACATTTTGATCTTACCTGAGAAGGTGTCAGTGTCAGGATTTCACACAGGAATACCGTGACTGCCCCCTGGCTGACAGTGATCAAAAGCACAATCAATGCTAGGTGCATCCCAAGTTGAGAGAGGTTGCAGTGTGTAAAAAAAATACAAAGAACTTTTTCTTAGAATTCAAACAGATTACATTGGGTACCCACTATCTTGAAATACTTGGATTCAGTTTTCATCTGATTTAATTATCCTTTAAAATGGTTGTCACCGTCAAGGGCACAAGAATGAGGAAAAGTGTGGCAGCCCCTTGGTGGTCTGGTCTGTAGTTGTACCCACCTGCTTCCTCACCCCTGCTTGCAGTAGGAGGGTACATGCTAGCACGAGCTTCTCTTGCCCTCCCCATGGAACTCAGCACTCAGATTAAGATCTCCTCTCCATCCCCCTCATCACTTGAAGTTTTCTCTCATAATATTCCTGTATCTGTTTCTGCTTTTCCTTCTGGCCATGGGAGACCGTGGGCACCAGTAGGTCCTCTGCCAAACGTGTGAGAGAGAGATTCTCCCTCTTGGTTTTAGACCAATCGAATGGCCAGCCAGGAGATTGGAGGACTCACATGTCTGAGACAAGCGGCTGGGATCAGAAATGCAAAAGACATTGGTTCCGTTTTACTGTCAGGGTTCCAGATGGTTACACTTTAATATTCTGTTACTATTAATAGTTCTTTCCTCTTTTTGTGTACATTTGTTTGAAGTCTGTCTCCTTAGAATTCTGAATTGACTTTTCCGGAAGTTATTTGAGTCTGGTCCGTCTCCCCCCCCCCCCCCCCCCCCCAGTAGGGAAAAGAAATTGTCACATAATTGCTTGGATCTTTAAGCTAAGTGGGAATGATGGTTTCACACAGAACACCTGTTCCATTGCTGTTTTATCCATCAATAAAATTGTTAAATTTTTTTATGTACTGAAAGTTCTTAACACTTTTTAGTTAATATTAGCTCCTTGTGCTCTTGACACCAGATTTCCTATAAATTAATGAAAAGGCTTGTGCTTTGGGTTCATTCTAGAGTTGAAACTTGATGTCATATATTTAGAGGAAGGCGTCACCACAGATACAACACTCCAATGACTTTTATAGGAGATGAGTTTTTGCCTAATTTCAGTTCCTTTGAAAAAGGGTCAAGGCGTACTGAACCTTGATTTTCATCAGTCAGCCAATATTTCTTAGTTAAATAATGGAAGTGAAGAAGAATCTGTAAACTCAGGGTGATCTGTTCCATTTTGTTTAATGGGATCGTTGTATGAAATTATTAGGAACTATGCTAATTGGTCTTCAGTCTTCAAGCTTTAAATGATCTAAAGTCCACTTTTTAAACTAATATTTAATTCCCTTTTTCCCTGTAGCTTTCACAAAATTGATCACAGTCAATGGACAAGAATATCATCTTCAACTTGTCGACACAGCCGGGCAAGTAAGTCTCTGTTATGTCTCGCAATCTCCTGGCAGGCCTGGCTCTGCCATCAATACTCCAGCACAACAGCCATACCAAGGAAAACCCTCGTGGTTTTTGTGTGACTAAATAGTAACAGGCTGTCTACTAAGACATTTATGGCAATTTTGCCAAATCATTAACTTCTACTTTAGAATTGTGTGAAATATACTCATATTTATCGTAGGATAGCATCCTTCTGTTTTCTAAACTTGTGTTCTACATCAGAATTATATTAGTGCTATTTCTCCCTTTCTAATAACTATTCTACATCAAGATAAAAGAAAGTCTTTTCCAGGGGAAAGGCATGACAAAGGTATAGGAAAGAAATGAGCTGGTTTACAGATGGGCCACTTGATTACTAGATTAAGGAGTGTTGATTTGATTTATAGACAGTAGGTAATTGCCAAAGATTAAATAACACACACACACACACAGGTTAGTGTTAGTGTAGTGGGTATTTGAGGAATGGGTGACCAGGGGAATTGACTGGAAGCAGTGGTCTTTCAGAAAACTTGAGTACAAAGAAACACCTTAACCCTGATGGCTGAACTTCCCCATTCCTATGGCACCCAGTCCAGCTTTTACTAGGAACCGTCCTGTTGGGCTGAATCTGTTAAACAGTTGCTGGAATGTGAGGAGTGTAAAGAGGCTGGGAAGTCCTGCCTTGAATCTTACAATTGACAAAGGATCAGACTAGCAGGAGGGTGAGTATAGTGTAATCTGGTCTGCCATGTAAAATGGAGGCTTTTCTTCTGGAACCTAAGGGGATTGAAATAGAACTAGAATAGTGTGGCCTGTCTTACGGGTTTGGGATGAACTCCCTCTGTTTTTGTTTTTGTTTTTAAGATTGTATTTATTTATTCATGAGAGACACAGAGAGAGAAAGAGAAATAGGCAGAAGGAGAAGCAGGCTCCATGCAGGGAGCCTGACATGGGACTCCATCCCAGGTTCCCAGGATCACGCCCTGGGCTGAAGGCAGCACTAAACCACTGAGCCAACCGGGCTGCCCCTCCCTCTGCTTTATGTCTTGAAGTGAATGTAGAAGCAAAGTGTAGCCCCTTAGTGAAGCAAGAAGATAACTGTATTGAGTGATTTGAACACTGAAGAAACCTGGAGTTTTAATTCTGGAAGCTTCAAAGAAAAAAAAAGATGTGTATATCACAGATACACCACATAACTCCCTCATTCACCCTACACATGCCCCCCTGGTGGTGGGTATAATAGGCTTTCATCATCAGACCTCATGGTGGCTGTCTTAGAGTAGAGCCATCCTAGGCTTTTACTCTGCAGGATGCCTGTCATCTGGTGACAGAAGGAGCTGTTCCTTTTGGAGCTTAAAGGAACAAGGGGAGCAATAGAAGTCTCCATAGGGGAGTAAGGTTGTAGAGAACACAGCTTAGAAGTTACTATAGAAGAGTGTCTGGGGTAAGACACTGTATTGGATTCTCAGAGTTTGTATCTTTTTTGGTTAAGGTGACTGTAATTTATTGCCTAAAATAAGATACTTTTAAGAGTGAAGGGAGCTCTAGTAATAATTACACTGGGACAGAAGGTGTTAAGTGATAATGTCCTGGGTGAAGAAATATGGCCACATGGTCCATAGTGGGCCTCTGACATTACCAAGATTTTGGTTTGCTTTTTATATCTTCCTTTTGAATTTTCATTAAGCTTCTGAAAAGTGGGGATGAGGATATAAACTGGCAAACCACTTTCATATAATATGACTGTAGAAATACATTTTGTAGTAGGCCAGAAGGAGAACAAGTATTTCATAGTCATTTGGAACGTGGGCTCTGCAGTCAAGCTGCCAGGGCTTGAATCCTGGTGTGGGGTTTTTTGTTGTTGTTGTTTTAAACCTGGTGACCTTGAGAAAGTTCTGAACCTTTCTGTGCCTCAGATTCTTCATCTGTGAACTGGTGGTGAAGTAGTGCCTGCCTTCACAGGATTGTTCCATGATTTTGAGGAGATGTGTGAGCTTCAAGAGGATTTGAAGAAAAAAAAAAAAAGGATTTGGTCCTTATTTGCAGATCTTTAATACTCCTAAGACCAGAGCAGTGCCTAGCATGGCGGCTCAGTTGCTTTTGACAAGATCCTGAATGAGAGTAGTGCCAGTGTCTCTTATACTTGGAGTAGAACTGTTCTTGAAACATTTGTCTGAGAGGAAATTTCTTTATGTGTACTCCTTATCAAAATAGAAGATACAGGGGCACCTGGATGGCTCAGTGGTTGAGCGTCTGCCTTTGGCCCAGGGCATGATCCCAGAGTCCTGGGATTGAGGTCCACATCAGGCTGGATGGGGAGGGGAGCCTGCTTCTCCCTCTGCCTATATCTCTGCCTCTCTCTCTGTCTGTCATGAATAAATAAATAAAGTCTTAAAAAAAATAGAAGATACATTGCTTTGGGGTTCTGTTTTGCTCCAAAGCCCAAATGTACAAAGAATGACTCCAGAAAGATCAGAGATCTTGAGGAGTGAGTCTATGATGTGAGGGCAGGCAAGAGCAAGGTCCATCACTAGCTCTGCTCATCTTGCTCCTTTGGATTCTGTTACTGCCAAATAAGAATATTTAGAGATTTTTTTTGCACAGAATATATCTGAATTCAGCTCCCTTGAATAATTTGTTCCCATTGCAGCTAGTAGTTTTTTGAGGCTGCATTCAGTTGGGAAACCATGGTTATGTTCATATTCGTGATTTGAGGACATGCGCATTTCCTTTTGCCGTGGTTCTGTAGTCCCACATACACCTCGCTTGGTAGCACCTGGGTGAGATGGCACATTACAGCTGCTCCAAGAGCTGTTTTGAAAATTGGGTTCCGGGCAGCCCTGGTGGCTCAGCGGTTTAGCACCGTCTTCGGCCCAGGGCGTGATCCTGGAGACCCGGGATCGTGTCCCATGTCGGGCTCCCTGCATGGAGCCTGCTTCTCCCTCTGCCTATGTCTCTGCCTCTCTGTGTGTGTCTTTCATGAATAAATAAATAAAGTCTTTTAAAAAAAATAAAAGGAAGAAAGAAAGAAAATTGGGCCAGTGGGCTGGGTCCCATTAGCAGTAGGGGGAGATGATGAAGGAAGGACAGATTTGGCACTGCCATCCGGAGCACATTTGTTCACTGGTGTCCACATTTTAGGAGTAAAATTAGCAACAGTGTAATGGCAGGTACTATTTACTTATAGTTTATACTGTAGTTGGTTTCATTGCCCATCAAGGGATGATAATGAACATGGTGAAATACAAACTGATGATTTTTAGTTTGCATGGAAGATTTTGTTTGGGCGTAATTTAAGTGGACTCAGTGACAAGGTGATTCAGTGGCAGTCATCTTTATAACGTCAAATCCTTTAAAAAAAAAGTATTACTCAAGTTCTGTTGTTTCAAAACAGTAATATATGTACATGTGACAGACATAAAACAGCACAAAAAGATAAAAACTTTGGTCTGTGCCACTCTGACTGCATTACTTCACCCTTCCGAGAGCAGCCCCATCACTAGTTTCTAGCATGTGCTTCCCAGATGTTCTCAACATGAACATATAGGTGTAGGGTGTTTTTTTTTTTTTTCCTTTTTTACAACAAGAAGAAACCTATCTCCAGATCTCCATCTTGGAGGTGATTCCATAGCCATGCATATGGCTGCTGTCTCCTCCCCACGGCTGCATAATATATTGTTGTTGGGATATAGCATGCAGGTGGTTTGCAGTCTTGCTGCTGCCAGCAGCACTGTGATTAGGGTCTCATGTCAATATAGACCGTGAGTGTGCGCGTGCGCAAGAACACGTTCTGGCGGCAGGATTGCTGCATCTTAGGCCCATGGTTTACATTCTCATTGGGAGGGAGCAAGTGCCCGATGCTCTGCAAGCTCATCAGCATCGCATTTTATTAAATCTCTTCTTACTTGCCAATCTACTAGGTGAAAAGAGTATCCTGGAAGAATTGTGATAAGTATTTTTCTCCGCATGAAGGAGTTTGAGTGTATTTTCCTGTTGGAGGACATTTGTATTTCCTTTCCTAAGAATTATCCTGTCTGTGTGCTTTGCCCTTTCTTTCTCGGACGGATGGTCTTAGCTTCTTGGTTTGAGAGACCCCCTTATTGATGTGAAGAAAATCTGCATTTTATGTGATGTGAGCTGCAAGGTTTGGGTTTGTATTCAGTCTGTGGTTTTGTTTGAAAGGTTTTTAGCATGAAGAACATTCTCATTTTCACATCATTGAATTGATTAATCTCTTTTCACCTGATACTATTCTTAAAAAATACTCCCATCTGCTCTGCATATGGTTTCCGTTTTTAATCTTTAAATTTTTAATTCTTCTGGAATACATTTTTGCTCAAGTGGGAACTAGAGATACAGCTTAGCCATTCAATCACCCCCTAGATGCTTCTGCTTTTGCTCCCTGGCCAGCTTTGTTGGAGGGTTACTTTTACCCTTACTGAGCTGAAACGCCAATACTAGCATTTACCTAATTCCCGGCTCCCGTGGGTCTTCATAGGTTTTTCAGTCCACTTCACTCATGAACTAGTAGATACTTCTTTTAATTTAAATAAGTAGCTTTATGGTTTCACCCACCTGCGTCTACAATTGCTCTTTCTCAGAAAATATACTTTTTATCAGGATTCTTTACATTTATATGTTAATTTAGGATGGATCAGGGGAGACTTTGATGAGCTGCACGGTCTTGCTGAGGACCATGACTCACTGTTCTATTCACTCCATTTGATCTCTTGGGAGTATTTTAAGATTTTCCTCAGATGGATCGTACACTTTTCTTGAGTTTATTCCTAGGAATTTTTTCCTTTTTGGTTGCTCTTAGAGCTGGGGAAGCTTTCCCCGCATGATACTTTCTAACTAGCAGTGGTTTGCACCATGCCTCTGAAATATGATGACTCATTTCTTTACTTCCATGTCTTCTCTTCATGGAAAAGGTGATTTGAACTCGAGATCTACTGTAGCTCAGCTGGTGTGACTAAAATCATTTGGAATTTTGTTCTTAATCTGGGTAGAAAGACCTCTCATTCCATTAACAAAAATGTGTTCTCAAAAGAACTCAATTTAATGAAACTAATAAGAAAACTGATAATGAAAACAAAGGTTTTATTTTGCATGTGTAGTAGTGAGCTCTAAGATGTAGAAATGCTACCTTCTGATGAATGATTATTATTGATATCAAAGAGCTGATAGTAATACTTAATTTCTCTTTGATTTTTATTTTTTAAAGACACTTTGCTATGGTAGATAGTAATAATTTGGGGCAGTAATTCAGGGCTCTCATAAGCATTAGTTGTAACCATACTGGGGAATTGCAAAGTTAATAGAGACAGTTACTTAATATAATGATGATGTGACCTGATCGTTTAGAATAGTGCTTGGGCTACATGGTATGTTGACAATTATATTTCTTTATTTTTATTTTTTTAAGATTTTATTTATTTATGAGACACAGAGAGAAGCAGAGACATAGGCAGAGGGAGAAACAAGCTCCCCAAGGAGATCTCCCCCCCTGTCCCCAGGATCACGCCCTGAGCCGAAGGCAGACCCTAAACCACTGAGCCACCCAAGAGTCCAACAATTATATTTCAAGGGAGAATAAAATGTTTCTTACCAGGCTGTGGCATGTTATAAGGAACTGCACTGATAGTATTCCTTTTGTATACTTCAATAATTCTGTATCTGAAGCCGAGTTTTGAGTTTCCTAAAGCTGCTTTATGAAACTGGGTACTGATGTGTTATGTAATGTGTACCTTTGTTTTTAATATCTAACGTTGCTCAATAAATAACTGATTTGATCCCCAGAAGTCTGGGTACACTGACTTTACCTTTTTGATTCTGTCCTCTTTTCTTGCACTCTCAAGTGCTGAGTAACCCACTAGTGACCAGTAGACTGGCCCTTGGGCCATTGTGACTCAACTTGCAGAGAATGGGTTTGGTAAGGAGATAACAATTTCAGATAGGAGAATACAGATTTATGGGAAAAAAAACAGAAGCACTGGTGAATTTTCTGTGAGATCTAAGGTTCTAGACTTAGAACCTTAAAAGAACTACTATAGCTCTTCTCCTCCTATAAGATCACAGGACCTGTTGTCTTGTCATTCCGTCCATCCTCTTTCACCAGGAATTGCAGAAATTATCAGCCTTCTCCCCAAAGGTCTTAGAATAGCCATTTTCACATGTTGGCTGAAAACAATTATCAGCTCCAAACCAGCCTATACACTTAAGTCCTAAGTGTATAGGCTGTGTTTCTGGAAGAAAATGTAATCCACTTTTTGTTTACTTTGATCTCTGACCAGGTCATGTGTGAAGAACTTTGGGGTACAGATTGCTTGTTATGCTACATGAAGAATTTTACTCAAATAGAATTACTTTTTCTCCCACAGGATGAATACTCCATCTTTCCTCAGACATACTCCATAGATATTAATGGTTATATTCTTGTGTATTCTGTTACATCAATCAAAAGGTAGGACTCCCTCCTCCTGCTTGCTTTGAGTTTATTTGCTCCGCATGAAAGACACTTATTCTTTTTAAAGGACCGTGATGGAATTGGTTATAGTAACAATCTGACTTACCAAGCTAAATGTTTTTCATTATGTTGTCTTATGGAGCAAACAGGTTGTTAAAGGGAAAAAAGATATCCCAGTAGATGTTCTCTTACACTGATTGAGTAAAAACTCTATTTCTTACCTCCAACTGCCTAGATAAATAGTGATTTGACATGATCTGAGCTTTTCTGCTAATGGAAATGGGAATTGCATAAATTGATTTGCTTTTTGTGTGTTTTTCACCATATTAATATGGAACACGGGCTGACTGCTAGGGCCCTCTAGCTAAAGAACACCCTACAAATGTCTATTCAGAGATTAAAATTTGTGTTTATATGGTTTGTCAGCCAAGTGTTAGACTTTCCCATTTAATATTGCACCTATTTCATTTTGAATAGTCTTGGTAAGGTTACTCAGTGTCAGATACATACACATGTGAAAAATGATTTGTAGGAAAAAATTAAGGAATTCTTTGTGTTCAGTTTTTTTTTTTTTCAGTTTATTTTATATTAAAATGGTAAGCCAGTGACATTATGTATTTTTCCCACGAGAAACATTATGTAACAAACATTTAAAAACACCAACACTAAGGCGGATGTTTGATTTCATGCTTCTCTTTTACAGTTTTGAAGTGATTAAAGTTATTCATGGCAAATTGTTGGACATGGTGGGGAAAGTGCAGTAAGTAGTAATAGTTTCTCTTTTGTTAGATATGCTCATTATACTTGTGTCTTCTGAACAATGAGATCTGGCACTGACTAGTTTCCTTTGGCTTTTTTGTCTTACATTACTAGAATACCTATTATGTTGGTTGGGAATAAGAAAGACCTACATATGGAAAGGTATGTAACTTCTGAATAATTACTGATTTATAAAATCAAGTCTGAAATGGTCTAGGCACTGCAGTATCTTTTGTAATTATTGTTCTCATGGTGAGACTATTCTTAAATGTAACATGTCTATGTTCAGAAATGTGTGGTGGTGATTGTTGTACCCAAGCAGAAGCAAAACTGCAATATAAAGCCTCACCCACCCTGACAAGTGTTTCCTCTAGAAAAGAGGGAGCAAATGTGGTAGGAAATTATCTTCTGCCATTTTGTGTAAAGTGGCCTAAAGAGATCACAGAGGCACTCATATATTCAACAAACAGTTTCTGAGTCCTACGGTGAGGATTAGATGCTTGAGCGGGAGCAAGGCCCTTGCTGCTATGGAGTCCCGGCTGGAGAGGAGGATGCACAGCAGCGTTGGGCCGAGGGCCCCTTCACAACTGTCTTGTTCTCAGGTGCTGACAACCCCCACCCCACACTATGAAACAGTCTGTGTCACAGTGTGCTGGAAGCACAGTTGTGTTCTCTGAGCTGAGGACCTGCCGGAGCATGGGTAATGCCATAAGGCCACATCTGTCCTGTTCCCCAACCCAGCCCTTGTTAAAGTGCTCCTCTGTGGTCCACCCTGGATGATAATATTGAGCAGAGAGCATTTCTCTGCTTTGCAAGGAAAAAAAATGATAAAAGTGGAGCCTGGTTCACTAATATTTACAGATGTTTTCCTAAAAAGAGAGTACAGTCCTTTAATTAGAATTTTCTTTTTCCTCTAGGGTGATCAGTTATGAAGAAGGGAAAGCGTTAGCAGAGTCTTGGAACGCCGCTTTTTTGGAATCTTCTGCTAAAGAAAATCAGGTACATATTGTGTAGAACTCCTCTTGTGCTGCCTCTGTCAGCTCTGGGCCTGTGTCCCCTCAGGCAGCCGTGCGCCACCTGCTCCACCTCATCTGTGTCCTTCTGTCCCACCTCACCTATGTCCTTCCTTCCACCATCTCAGAGTTGGCCTTTGAGTTGCCATCAAGATCCTGCTTACAATGGGATCTGGAATATTTGTAGGATAAACAGAAGTTGGGAGTAAAGGAAATGCTGCTTTGTGAACGTATATTATTATTTTTGTTTTGTATTAAAGGCTGGCACAGAAATAAGTCCAGGCTTAGAAAAGAAAGGAGAATGATCTTCCATCACTTTGGCAATAGTTCTGTGCCGGCACTTCTCTGTAGGATGAAACGGATGCCATATATATATTGTTTGTACCATTGAAACTATTAAGAACCATGTTGCAGGCATCTATGCCCACGTCAGCCCTGCAGATGTTCCTGCAAGAGCACCCCCCGGGAAGGCTGTTTGTTGGCTTTATCTGTGGAGGCCTCACATGGCCAGCCTCCCCTCCTGCCTCTGTCTTCTCTCTCCTGTTTCTGCACTGCCACTAAACTCGTTAAAGCTGCGCATCAGATGGCATCACCCTCTGCTAGGACTGTCGGTGGGTTGCCTGTTGTCTAGAGAACAGGCTCAAAGCCCTTAGCAACATGGAGGGCGGGCAACACTGGTGCTCATCCCGCCGCCTTCCCCACTGGGCGCACTGGCCGAGTGCGCCCTCCCCTTAGGCTACCTCCAGCCTCAGCTGTCCTCTCTCTGACTCATCACTTATATCCGTGCAGTGCTTTACAGTCTTAAAAGTATTTTCCACATATTCTCTTGTTTGATCCTCCAATCAGAGTAGCTGCTGTTCGAGTGTGTGAGGAAACTGTTCAGTCAGGGTGACTGGTACCTTCTGGGTAAGGATGGAGGCCCACTCTCCCCACCTCAGCCACTTTTCCCCTGGCTCTCAAGGTCCTTTTCTCTCATCCTCTCATCCCCCTCAATTCATCCCAAAATCCAAGATATGTCATTTACCTCTATTCTCCATAATGTCCTGCATGGCAGATGCTATGGGCATGCCTGTCTGCCAGGTTCTCAGTCAACCCAGGTACCCTTTGGCAGTCACATCCCTTTGTCCCTGGGTTCAGATAATAATGAGGAATATTGGGCAGCCCCCGTGGCACAGCGGTTTAGCACCACCTGCAGCCCAGGGCCTGATCCTGGAGACCTGGGATCGAGTCCCACGTTGGGCTCCCTGCATGGAGCCTGCTTCTCCCTCTGCCTCTCTCTCTCACTCTCTCACTCTGTATCTCTCATGAGTAAATAAAATAAAATCTTTTAAAAATAATAATAATAATGAGGAATATTAAATCTGTGTAATTGGTTCCCATGTGTCAGGTCACAAGAGATTCGTGTGACTCTGCTCAGCTTCTGAGTTCAGGTAGTAAGAATTCAGATACCAAGAGTTGAGAGAGTAAGAGATATCTTCATTTCCTAATGGAATTAAATCAAACATTTATTGGGTGTCTAATCTGTCCTTAAGATCATTCAGTTGCACTGTCTCATTTTGAAAGTGCGTTTGAGATCCAAAGAGAGAAGTAGGGATCCCTGGGTGGCGCAGCGGTTTGGTGCCTGCCTTTGGCCCAGGGCGCGATCCTGGAGACCCGGGATCGAATCCCACGTCGGGCTCCCGGTGCATGGAGCCTGCTTCTCCCTCTGCCTGTGTCTCTGCCTCTCTCTCTCTCTGTGACTATCATAAATAAAATTTAAAAAAAAAAAAGAGAGAGAGAAGTAAATGAGTTTTATAATATAAGATCACTCGGTTTATGTGGCATAAGAACTAGGACTGAAGTTTATATATCTAACCTCTATTTGGTGCGCTGTTCTCTACACCATGTTTTCCGGTGGATGGGAAGGGAAGGCCTCGTGCATGACTGAAGCATAATAAAGCATTCTGGGGAAGGGTACAGACTGGGTTACAGTCTGTGTGTTAACTTTGATTGGAATCTGGTTCTGAAAACCCTAGTATAAAAGACATTTTTGGTCTATTGGAGAGATTTTGTTATGTTCTGCATATATTAGTAAAATAATGTTAATTTCCTTTGAGGAAGTGATAATATTGGAATCATGAAGAAAATATCTGTATTCTTAGGAAATGCAGACCAAAGTATTTAGGGGTCAAGTTTCATAATGTCTGTGACTTACTTTCAAATGGGGGTAGATGGGTGAATGGACTGGGAGAAGGCAAGCAGATACAGCAGAGAGTTCACATTTGTTGACTGTAGATAGTGGCACTACATGATTATTGTACAGTTCCTTCCATTTTTTTATGTGCTTGGAATTTTGCATAATAAAGATCTGAAGGTGGTCAGAAGATACAACTTCCACTTAGAAGATCAGCAAGTCCTGGGATGTAATACACAGTACCGTGTAGGTTTTGTTTGTATTTGAAAGTTGTTGAGAGAGTAGATCATGGAAGTTCTCACCAGGAGAAAAAAAGAATTGTAACCCTGTGGCAGTGGATATGAACTGGACTTACCTTGGTGCTTATTTCTCAGTATACACAAATACCAATCATTACATTGTACACTGCAAGCTAATACAATGTTACCTGGCAGTTACACTTCATTTTTAAAAATATTTTTCTTTCTTTTTTTTTTTTTTTTTAAGATTTTATTTATTCATGAGAGAAACAGAGAAAGAGAGGCTGTCTTTACAGGCAGAGGGAGAAGCAGGCTCTGTGCAGGGAGCCTGATGTGGGACTCGATTCCAGGATTCCAGGATCACACCCTGGGCCAAAGGCAGGCTCTAAACTGCTGAGCCACCCAGGGATCCCTAAAAATATTTTTCGAGGTGGAGGAGTATAGTTAAATGGCCCCAGCCATCTTGATTATTTTGCTGACTTCACTATCTCTCTGGTGAAGGTCTGGGGGTCCTGATGCAGTAATTTTATCGGATGCAGTCCTTAAATAGTCAGCGGCAGCAGAGTTGTGTCACTGTTCGTGTGACCCTTGCACAGAGCACGCGCCACTGTTCTGTGTTTGGCAGCTCCGCGTCTTCCTGTCAGCAGCCCCAAATGTACTGACAGCTTGTAGGCCCTCCTCCGGTGGGATTAGGAGGCATTGCCTAGGAAGGCCCACCTCCTCGGGTTAATGTATCTTTTTGGCAGCGACCTATGATGGTTTGCCAGAGGTGTGTGATTACACTACCATGTCGTTTCAAGATACAGGCCTCCACTGTCTGGCTTATGCCATACTCCACTGTAGCTTCTGGTTTGTGATGTGGTTCTGGGTAGGTTTAGTCTTTCATCTTGGTGCTTCCTCTAGAAGGTGGCATGGTTTTTTCTGAAAACCCAGATAAAACATGAATCATGCTGAGGGCTCAGAGTTAAAGGATTCCAGCTACTGTGATTCTTTTTGGTTTTGATATATTTAGCATATTGATCTGATATTAGCCAAACATGTCAAAGAAGGCAAGGGTCCTGTATGGCCACCTCCCACATCTCAAGCCAGAGAATCTCATAGATGAGGTGATCTACTCGTCTCTTTGGCTCTCAGATCAGCAGGTACTTCATTAGACAGGAAGTGAATCCTTTACAACGAGAAGATCCTTGTACCCAAATCAGATAAATAGAGCAGCGACACGCAGTCTTTGGGACACTGACAGCCTGCTCAGTTATCTCAGAGGTGTGTCTAGATCGTCCTCACTCTGCCGCATGTCTTGTACTCCTGCCCACATGGCCTTGGAATGTACTGAAGGGAATCAGGAAACCCTAAGCCTGGTGAGTCTCCCCCAACCCAAAGGGGAGAAACCAAGTAATTCAAATCCCTTACCTTAGAGGTGCCAGAATGCTTGCTACCGTTCGTATAGAGTAGGGAGAGAATTTGTGTAGTAAAGACACACATACACACCTCACACCAATAGTCATGTGATCTGAGACCAGTCTGTGTGAACTCAAATTTTTATTGAGGATTTTTCAAGTATAACTTATTTATCATTTGTATTACTTACCTAAGCAGAGTTCAAGGGACTTTGTTAACAGAGTGCTCAGTAGTAAAAAATGATCAAGTCCGTGAGAATCCTACACTCAATTATTGAACTATGGGATGTATTTGCAGTTCTGGTGGCTTCTTTCTTGTGGAGGCCTGCAGCTGTATTCTCACAGTGTGATGAAAGAGAATATACTCGGACAGAGTCATATCACATGGATTAATTAAGGAGAATTCTGAGATTTATCTAAAAAGCCAGATTCCAGGCACACTCTATTTTCTTGGCAAGAGTTTGGTATGTGTTTTTCCAAACATTTTTCTGTGCATTTTTGTACAGTGAACTAAACAACTTATTTGTATAATCATGGGAAAGGGGGAAAACTTGCTGAAGCCAGTGGCTTTGATTAGACAAGAGGGGTGGGACCTGGGGCTGGATGTAGTTAATTTAGGGGTGCCTTGTCCATGGCATCAGAGAAGGAGCCAGAGCCAGTGAGCCCAGACTGAAGGGGGTTAGCGTGGAGGATGGTGTATGTAGAGTCCTTTTATGAATGCTGTGTGTTTCCCCAGCGAACTGGAAAACAGTTACCAGCTGAATGTGAGAATGGGGCAGAGGCTTTAGAAATTCTGGGAGAGGGTATCCCTGGGTGGCGCAGCGGTTTGGCGCCTGCCTTTGGCCCAGGGCGCGATCCTGGAGACCCGGGATCGAATCCCACATCGGGCTCCCGGTGCATGGAGCCTGCTTCTCCCTCTGCCTGTGTCTCTGCCTCTCTCTCTCTCTCTCTGTGACTATCATAAATAAATAAATAAAAATTAAAAAAAAAAAAAAAGAAATTCTGGGAGAAAGGCAAGGCATGAAACCTCCATCTGGGGAGTGACTAGACCAGGGAAGTGCAGGTGGGTGGTGCCGAGGGTCCCCTCTGGAGCCAAGGGCTCAGAGGTCAAGTGAGCTGAGCCACACTGGCCCTGTGGCTGCAGGTGCCAAGCAGGCAGATGGCCAATAGAGAAGGGAGCTAAAGTATAGTGACAGCGGTTGTGGGCCGTGGGGTCAGGCCTGGCAGGGAGGACAGTGAGGAGAAGTGTCTTCAGACCAAGGAAGCTGTTCACTGTGGAGCTGAGAATTGTGGAGTTTGGGGTATCAAAGTGGTGGGTGGGGGAATGAGAAGGGAGAGGAGGAAGATGGATATGGTGGATCCTTGACATTGGGTGATGGAGAAGTGGCTGTGGGAACTGACAAGATCCAGGTGCCGCCCCTCAAAGCTTTTGGGAGCAGGGACATTTTTTTGACTCACAATCAGGGTGTTCAGCCTAAGAGAGGATTCCCTGCCCTAAACACTACCCGTCTCCATGAGGGGCTCGTGGGCTTGCCCACAGGCTGAGGGGCTGTGGTTGAGAAAGACCGGTCATTGAAGAGGAGGTCGGGGCTAAGTGTGATGCTGGAGACTGACACTGATCCAGGAGGAAGAGGGGACGCGACTCGGGCCTCATGTGTGGCTTAAAGGTGGCTTCTCTCATTGCACGACTGCAGGAGAGTTTTAAGGGAGTGGGAGGCAGAGGTGTGGAGGGGCTAGTGAGGAGCAGAAAGAGCCCTGGCCTGCTACAGATCCCATGGTTCCAGGGTGTGCAGGGGGGAAGCAGACCGCCCCCCATGGCCTCCGCCTCGGGAAGGGGCTTCAGGGAAAGTTGTGTCACCGTGGGAGTGAGGGGTGCTCGGACTGGGCTCTGAAACTCCAGAGGCACCGTGGCGGGGCAGGGGAGGACTCGCTGGGCTGCCACCGTGCCCAGTGGTGAAAACAGGTCGGAAATGTGTGATGTGAGGTTATTAGTTCTCGAGTCGGGTTGGGGTGTGAGGTGGGGCCGGGAGGGAGTCCGGGGCTCCTGCCATTCTGGAGCCTCACCCCTGCACCTCCATCTGTAGGGGGACGATGGGCAGCGGGCCTTCCCCGGCCCTGCCAGCAGGAAAAGTATCCCCCAAGGTTCCGCTGTACAACCCATGTGTCTAGTTTTCTCTTTGATTTTCAGACGGCTGTTGATGTTTTTAGAAGGATAATTTTGGAGGCAGAAAAAATCGATGGGGCCGCTTCACAAGGAAAGTCTTCCTGCTCGGTGATGTAATCCTCCTGCAGAACCTGAGGACACGGGAGTCGGTCCAGCCTGAAGAAGCAGACTGCCCGTTATCCTTTAAGATAAACTCAGCTTCTTTTTCCTTCTGTTAACCTGAAAGATTTCATTTGGGTCAGAGCTTTTTCCTGCCCCACCCCCCTTCAGATTATGTTAAACTCTGACTCTGTCCAAATGAGTTCACTTCCATTTTCAAATTTTAAGCAATCATATTTTCAATTTATATATTGTATTTCTTAATAATATTATGACCAAGAATTTTATCGGCATTAATTTTTCAGTGTAGTTGTTTAAAATCATGTAATCATCAAAATGATACATACATAATTGTTACACTACTATTAACTAGGCTTCGATATATCAGTGTTTATTTCATTGTGTTAAATGTATACTTGTAAATAAAATAGCTGCAAACCTTAACCCCTTGTGCTTAGCGTGCCTTTCAAAGAAGAGAACCTTGTCCTCCTGAGGGAATCCCTTTGCCTGGGGGAGGGCTCATTCTGGAGGCGGATTCGGGCACCTGGGGGGCCCCTGGACGGCAGGGCTGTGGAAGGTTGGGAAGAACACCGGGCCAGGGTGCTTCTCGATGGGCCCCAGCTGGGGGGCCTTGGAGGACCTGGGAGGAACGTTATAGTCCCAGTGGTGACTGTTCTCCCCTCCACCCTGGGCGGAGGGCTTCGTGCCGTGCTTGGCAGCACTGAGCAGAGCTGTCGCCTTACCCTCCTGCTGACCCATAGGCTACATGGGGACAAGGAGAGGTTAAGAGTCACTTCCTATTTTCTCCTGTGTCTCGCTTCACGTCTACCGCAGACAGGATCTGATTCAGATCCCACAACACCGACTCACTTCGGGGGTGAGGAATGTTGCCAGTAAGCTGGGGGGTGGGGGGGCTCCAAGATCTTCCCTCAGACTCTGACCGCACCCTCCTGCCCCCCCAGGGCCAGCCAGAAGGAGGAAGGGGGGTTTATTTGCACAGTGGCCTCCATGTCCTCTCTTAAGCCCCACTTGAGGTTGAAAGGTGCCCTCCCAGCTACGATGCAGAGCCAGTTCCAACAGAGAAGCAAACGTTATCATCGACTTTATTAATCAAATACATTCTCTCAAGTACTCAAAAGTGTTTTTGGCGACACAGTATTGTTACTTATTAACAAGGTTTATTCTTAGGCCTTGTGTTATATGCGGGCACTCAGTGTGCGGGACTGTGTTAACTCTGGATCCACTTCATCCAGTCAGCCTTTGTCATCTGAAAAGGACATTCTGTGTAAGAGGGAACTCTGAGCAGCATGTTTGTGTGGGAAGCGAGTTCAGCACTCACCAAGCGAGCCTTTGAGGACTGGGCCCTGTCTGGCTCCCTTCCGTGGTGTACTTCACCTCGGCACTCAGATGTTTCCTGTTTTTTTTTTCCCCCAAGTTTTTATATAAGTGTCAGTTAACATATAGTGAGACTGGATTGTTTTTGTTTTTGTTTTTTTAAGATTTTTCTTATTTGAGAAAGAGAGCACAGAGCAGAGCAGGGAGCCCGACGATCCCAGGATCCTGAGATCATGACCTGAGCTTGAAGGCAGACACTTAACCCACTGAACCACCCAGGTGTCCCCGCCTTTTAAAGATTTTATGTATTTCTTTAAGTGACAGGGGGACTGTTCTGTGTTGTGAACACAGCAGGGAAATCTGCACCCTTGTAGAGCTTGCATCCAACCTTGAGCCTTGGAGTAGAGGCAGGGCCAGGCCAGGCTTGCTCCCTAGCACATTGATCCCGTCCACGGACAGTTGATTGACTTACTGGATGGACGGGTCGTGCTGGGAGTTCACAGTGTGGTACGGCAGCTCGAGACCAGTGATCCGGAGCTCCTTCCCTTGAGGTGAGGGTAGGAGGTGGTTGGTTAGTACCTACTGTGTGTTGATGTTCTCGTTTGCTTCTCATCCCCTGTGAAGGAGGTGCTGTACTATCTATAGATGAGGAAACCATCTCAAAGGTGTTAGCATCTGGTTAATATCAGAGGCCACACCCCTGCTAATGTGATACCTGAGCTTGTGAAGAAATTCTGGCAACTTCTAGATTTGACTACATTTTTTGTTACTTAATACTATGTACAATCACTCACTTCTGGGCCTTTTTTTTTTTTTTAAGGATTTTATTTATTTATTTATTTGACAGAGACACACAAGAGTTGGGGAGTGGCAGAGAGAGATGGTGAAGCAGACCCCCTGCTGAGCAGGGAGCCTGATGGGCCTGATCCCAGAAACCTGGGATCATGACTTGAACTGAAGGTAGACCCTCAACTGGCTGAGCCACCCAGGCGCCCAAAGGCCTTTTTTTTTTTTTTAATGTTTTAACATTTCTGAAATCAAGAGTGAGTGTTAATGATCCCTGAAAAAGCATCATGTTATAAAAGAATGTTTTTCTTAGTGGTACATACTGTGGTCTTAGATTCATTGAAGTACAGTACGTGCACATATAAAACTAGGTACATATTCAAAACTATTTTGTAGGGGCTCTTGGGTGGCTCAGTGAGTTAAGTGTCCAACTCTTGGTTTTGGCTCAGGTCATGATCTCAGGATCAGGAGATCGAGCCCTGAGTTGGGATCCACACTCAGCAGGGAGTTGGCTTGAGATTCTCTCCCTCCAGCTTTGCCCCCGTCCACTTGCTCTTGAACATGCTCTCTCTCTCTAAATAAAATTTTTTTAAGAGTATTCTGCAGTTCACAATAAATACAAATGACAAAATGATGTTACAAATTCAAATTAAAATGATGGAATTTTGCTCAAACTAGATCGTCCAGCCACTTACCCTCTCTCAACCCCCATGTCTCCCACTGACGGCACAGCGCTCTTGCCCAGACTCTTCATCATCTCCCTGTCACCACACCCAGTGAGTGCTTCTGGTTTCTTTATTGACTTTTCAGCAGCATTGCACACAGCACTGCGACTTCTCCACAAGCCCTCTCCCTGCTTCCGTGAAACCATGTTCTCCTGGGTCCTCTCCAGTGCACCATGGGCATGAATCTCCTTTGCTGTTTCCTTCTCTGCCCCACCTCAGTGGGCCCTTATGCTGCCTGCACCCACTTCCTTGGTTTCTCCAGTCACAGCTTTTACTACCACGTTCCTGAAGGCTTCAGAGCTCACAGCTCCCTCCCTGACCTCTGTGGGCTTTAATAATCGTGCCAAAATCCAAAAACTTCCAACACTTGAAGCCTAGCACTGTCGAGCTGGTGCTTAACTCAACAAGGCTGTGCTCTGGTCACTCTGGCCTTGGTGATTCCCGGACAGAAAATTCTCCCTCAAGACCTCTGTGTTTGTCTTCCTCGGCCCAGAATGCCCTTCCCCAGACTTCCCACCCCCCAGGCCTGCACGTGAGTCTTTATCACACAGTACAGCACATGTCATGATCCATCACTGCGGGTCTTTGTGCACACTACATGTTCGCAGACTAAATCTGCCTGCGCGGAGGCAGTGGTGGATCTGCCCCTAGATCTGTCCCGGCGCCTTGAAGCCCCAGCCCTGCCCGAACATAGGACCTGCTGAAAGAGATTTCCCAGGGCACCAGGTAACTTTGTTGTTTCTGTTATATATATATTTTTATTTTCTTACTGATTGCCTCAGGAATTAGAATTAACATCTTAATTCCTAACAATCTAGTTTAGATTAATGCCAATTCCCATAGTGTATAGAAACTTGGGTCCTGGGGTTCCTGGGTGGCTCAGTCAGTGAAGCATCTGCCTTCAGCACAGGTCATGATCTCAGAGTCCTGGGATCCAGCCCTGCATTGGGCTCCCTGCTTAGTGGGGAGTCTACTTCTTCTCCCTCTGCCCTTCCCCCTGCTCGTTCTATCTGTCTGTTGTATAAAATGAATGGATTTGTTATTCCTTTATGAAGGCATATCTTAAATCAAATAGAGGGGCGCCTGGCTGGCTCAGTGGCTGAGCGTCTGCCTTCGGCTCAGGGCGTGATCCCTGGATCCTGGGATCGAGTCCCATGTCAGGCTCCCTGCGTGGAGCCTGCTTCTCCTTCTGCCTGTGTCTCTGCCTCCCTCTGTGTCTCTCATGAATAAATAAACAAAATCTTAAAAAATGATAATAATAAAATAGAAAAAACTACCAAAAAATGTATTTATCTGTCCTGTCTTGTGTACTCACCCGTGTAGCAACATTTCCTTATGCTCTGTGGTTATCCAGTGACCTTTGTTCCAGCCTGAGACTCCCTGTGGTGTTTCTTGTGAGCAGGCCTGCCAGCCATGAATCCTCTGGGGGTTCTGTGGATCATCTTTCCAGGAAGGCCTTGCTGGGTGTAGAGTTCTAGGTGGAGAGTCTTTCTCTCTTTCTCCTTCCGCCCTTTTCAGGTTGAGGGTTTTCATGAGCAGGCACAGGCCAGTGTGTGTGCTCTTCTGGGCTCCCAGGAGCATGCTGCTGCCTTTTCAGAGCCCCCTTGGACACCTCCCTTTCCAACATTTTCTCTTTTTCTTTCTTTCTTTCTTTCTTTCTTTCTTTCTTTCTTTCTTTCTTTCTTTCTTCTTTCTTTTTTTTTTTTTTAGGCTTTTTTGTTAGCCTGCTGTTTGCTCCAATGTCAAATAAATGGCTGCCAATTGTTTTTGACAGACACCTGAGAAAAAGCAGTCAGATCAAAGACAAGCCTTGCAGGTGGGGTCTTCAGGAATCTGCTGGATATGACAGATTAGTTTTCTGAAAGTAGGGCTTTGAAAGAGCTCCAACCCCATCTTGACCCTGGGGGGGCTGCTCCAGTACTGGTTTCTCTCAATTGCAGCTGCTGGTTTTCAAGGCACCATGGAGTTTGCCGGGGGGGTGGGGGGAGGCCTGGCAAGGGGGCAAGGGGCAAGTGACAATACTTGTGCCGAGAATCAGTCACTTTTCTGCTTTTCTTAAATGAACACTACCGGGTTGTTAGAAGCCTTTAGTTCATTTCCCGAGTTTGTCTACTTTTGGGGGGACAGTTTTTACCAGTGCTCTCACTGGGTTCGGAGAGGTCCTTGGAGCAGGGTTCCCAGTGACGGCCCCACAAGGATCCTCGCCAGTGGAACGGATGAGTAGATGAGCCCTTCTGTGGGGCCCCCTTCCAGACAGCCGTCTGCTGCGGTGTGGTTGAGATTGCCCACCGTCCACACACGGCACGGGACAGCCTCTACTCGCTTCCCGAGCCCACCCGACATGGGCTCATCACAAAGAAGGATGGTGCCTCAGCCACGGTCGGTGCAAACAGCCTCGGACTCAGAAGGCAGCAGAACCTGCCATCGGGAAGTCATTCAGATGACCCAGAATGTGCCGCTGCCTCTTAGGTTATGGTGTAGATGGAAGCAAGCTTTAACAATTCTCGGAGAGGCCTGGACTCCGGGAAAGCACCCCGGGCTGCTGGGAAGTGTGCGGTGCTCCCCAGCCTGAGCCCCACGGGTACTGCGTGCAGCGCC